CGACAGCCCCAAATTCTGAGGTAACTCAAATTTGGAGATTTTTTGAACCATAATTCATATGGGGTTTTCTTGTTCCTTTTATTTGGAACCCTATTCAAGACATAACATGCGGTAAGCATTGCCTCCCCCCAAAAACCCTTACTCAAGCCTGAGTAAGACAACATCGAGTTGACCATTTCTTTTAAAACTCGATTTTTCCTTTCGGCAACACCATTCTGTTGTGGTGTATATGGTGCCGTGGTCTCATGGATGATACCAACTGATTGGAAATATTGGGTATCCATATATTCCCCTCCCCGATCAGTTCTAAGACATTTAACCGGATTGCTTAATTGCAATTCCACCTCGGTTTTGTATATTTTGAATTTTTGTAAGGCTTCATCCTTAGAATGCAACAAATACACATAGCAAAACCGAGTTGAATCATCAATAAAAGTTACGACATAATTTTTGTTGCCAAGTGAGGGAGTTGAATGAAAATCACAAAGATCACTATGAATCAATTCCAAAATTCCAGAATTTCGATTAATATTTTGAAAAGGTTGTCTTGTGATTTTGGTCAACATGCAAGTTTTACATTTTTCTGTATTAATATCAAAGGCAGGAATTGATCCATCTTTTGACATTTCGTGCATTCTTCTAAAATTAACGTGACCTAAACGAGCATGTCATAGCATGGCATTATCAATTGAAGAAGTAAATGATGCAGATGATACAAACACAGAGTTTCCAACAGAAGATAAAGTATCAACCAAATTCAAGCAAAACATACGATTAGTAAAATAACCAAAACCAACAAACGTGCCAAATCGAGATAAAATAAATTTATCCGATTCAAAGACTTGCTTAAAGCCATCAGAGAAGATGTCTTTCTATTTGAACCATCCCCTATTTGCACAAGATTCATTCTCACTCATGCCCAAGCCCTTTTATAAGTTTTACTCTAACAGAAAGTCATTCTATTAAATAATTAATATGGACATGTTTATCCGAAAATAAATTTCCATATTTATTTCTTTAATAAAATACCCCCGCCAGGGGCGCTGCCCCTTGGACCCCGCAAGGGGGCGCAGCCCCCTTGACCCCCGCCATTTAATCGAACCAAGTTTAAATTTAATTTCGTACAAGTGTGCGCTCCGCACCTCCTAACTTGTCTAAAATTAAACTTGAACTCCATTGGTAATCTGTAAATTCCATTACACTAAAATGAACCTGGTGATACTAAAATCACCAACAATCTTAGCCGTTAAAATGAGAAAATGAATGAATCAGATCAATTTTAAAATGGAAAATTCGGTGCCAATGATGTAAATATTAGAAAAATCAGTGCCAATAGTGTAAATGATAAATGACTATGGAGAAAAAGTGCATTGAAGTAACACAAAAGTGCATCACTTTTTCGGGGGGCGGGGGGGGGGGGGGGGGGGGGGGGGAGAAACCAGTATAGAATTCGTTTGTGTTGTTTTTTAGGAGGTGAATATGCACTCTTACATATTGCATATGCACTTTTACTATTATGTATTACACATTTTGGTTTACCGTGAGTTTTGATCTACTGCATCCATGTTTAAGTAATCAAGGGCTTAGATCAATTCTCACTTTTCATGGGAAGACCTCATGGGAAGTTAACTGCGTATTTTTTAGCGCAGTGAACTTCAAAAAATCATTTGACGACCTTCCGGATTGAGTTTTTAGCTGAATTGTTTTGTGGATAAACTAGACTTGATGAAGAACATGCTATAAAAATTTCATCAACAAATTCCACTGGGAAGGCGGCCAAACGACGTCGGCCGGACGGCGGGTCTGGTGTGGCCGTCCGCACATGAAAACTCCTCTACATATATATATATATATATATATATATATATATATATATATATGTGTGTGTGTGTGTGTGTGTGTGTGTGTGTGTGTGTGTGTGTGTGTGTGTGTGTGTGTGTGTGTGTGTGTGCGCGTGTGTAGGGTGCGGTTCCGGTGAGAACACTTCTTAACGTGAGAAATGAGAACGCTCCAAAACGATGCACTTTATCATTCACGAAAATGCACATTTATAGTTAAAGTAATGCAAAATTCTAAGTTTCTCATTTACGTAGGGGTGAGATCACATACAAACCATGCTTAACTTACTAACCTACAAACTCAATAATATGCAACACTTTGAACATCAATATGCAGTAAAAATCATGTAAGGATGCACTCTTTGAATTTCAATATGCAATACAATTAATGTAAATATGAAATTGCTATTTTATGGCTTGAATAATATGAAATTGTTTGAACTTCAATGTGCAACACAAATAATGTAAAGATGATTTGAATGTGAGGACTAGTTTGTATGTGATCTCACCCCTACATCTTTACATTATTTTTACTGCATATTGAAGTTCAAAGTGATGCATATTATTGAGTTTGTAGGTTAGAATTTTAAACATGGTTTGTATTTGATCTCTTATCTATATACATATATAGATATAGAGAAAAGATCATGTGAGAAGTCCCCCTTAGGCTGAGAAGCTGCGAAGTCTAACTTATAAGCTCAAAACACGAACTTTTAACCAATAAATCATAACTTATAGACCCCTTCCAAAAAATTACGAAAATGTCACCGCGTCAAAATAACTCCAGAAACTTGGAATTTTTTTTTGCAGAAAGTTCGTGTTTTTGAGGGGGTCTATAAGTTATGATTTTTTGGTTAAAAGTTCGTGTTATTTGCTTATAAGTTAGACTTCGCAGCTTCTCGGCCTAAGGGCACTTCTCAGCTGATCCGCTCCTGATATTTATATATATACTATATATATATATATATATATATATATATATATATATATATATATATATATAGGGAGCGGTTCCGGTAAGAACGGATCTTAGGAGAAAAATGAGAACGAATCTGGACCGTTGGATTGAATTATGCGGAACTAAATTGTGCATTTGGTGAAATCGCAATGTGCAATAGACCATATTTAAATGTGCAGAATAAAAATTTAAACTCACATGTGCATTAGGTGAAACTGAAATGTGCAGAATAAGGCGTAAAAAAATAACATCACATCGTACCTTTTGTTCTACATATTTTAGTTTCATCTAATGCACATTTCACATTCACATAATGCACAATTTAGCTTCACATAATGCTACAACATCGTACCTTTTGTGTTGCACATTTCAATTTCACTTATTACACATGACAACTTCATCAAATGCACATTAAATTTCACATAAAGCAAATCTAACGATCCAGATTCATTCTCATTTTTCTCATAAGATCATGTTCTTATTTGAACCAAAACATATATATATATATATATATATATATATATATATATATATATATATATATATATATATATATATATATGCAAACATTTGTGTGTGTGTGTATATATGTGTGTGTGTGTATGGAGCGGATCAGGTGAGAAGTGCTCTTAGGCTGAAAACTGCGAAGCTAACATATAGACTGAAAACAAGAACTTTTAACTAATAAATCATAACTTATAGACCCCTCGAAATAATTACGAACATGCCACCGCAAAAAAAATAAGTCTGGAGACCTTGGAAATTTTTGGACGCGATGGCATTTTTGTAATAACAATGGAGAGTTTTATAACTTATAAGTTACGGAATATGATTTATTGGTTATAAGTTTCTATATTCAGTCTATAAGTTTACTGCGTTGCAAGATCATATATATATGTGAAAAATAATTTTACCCCCCTCAACAAATAATTCTCATCCCTCCAAAAAAATTGACCCCCCCCCAAATATTTTCAGCCCCAATTCATAGCTCACTCACAGAAATCCAATTTGTTAATAGCCTAAAAAATAGAAATTATAGAAATTATAGAAATAATATTATATCAGCCCACCCAAAAATTTATTCCCAACCCATTCCAAAATTTATTTCCAGCCCACCCCAAAAGAGCTTTCCCCAGCCCACAACCTAGCCCATACTAATGAAAAAACCTGCGCAAACCGGAACTGCATTCTTTCTGCTTGTTCCGCCAATCCGCCGATTCGCCTAAGAACTAAAGAAGGGAAGCCGAGCCCTGCCCACCAGCCACGCCTTGTTCCGCCGTCTCCCGTCCACGCCGTGATTCCGCCATCCACGCCGACGCTGTGCTCGGTGCGACGAAGCTTCTCTCAATCTCTCTGGCTCTGGCTTCAGCTCCAGGCTCCATCTATTATCACTAAGGTCAGTCTTTACTTTTTACTTTTTAGACTTTTCCTTTCTTAGTATGTTATGATTGTGTATTTGTGTTAAATTGTATTATAATTTTTAGCCTTTTAGAGTGTTAGGGTTAGTCCTTAGTTATTAGTTATTTAGTTAATCAATTTTATCAATTGATTTTTTTGGAGGATTCAATTGATGGAGGATGTCTTTGTAAATATTTTTTACCTTTGAGTATTTTAAAGTTGTTTTCCTAAATTCTTTGTGAAGGATATAGTGAATGACCGAAAGATGAAGAAGCAGACAAGCATTGACTCTCATTTTAAGAGAAAAACTGTTGATTTGAGTTGTAGTCCGAGTAACTCGGTCAATGCAGAAACTGCAAATGTGGAAGTTACTAATACTTCCAAATATTTGGGTTGTCCTAGTCTTTCATTTGATATCAAGAATCTAGAACGTGATCCCGGAAAACGCCCTCAGATATGGGAATATCCTGTTAATCAAAGAGATGAAGTTATTCGAGCATATTTGGAGATGGGGCCATATCAAATACATTCTGCAAAGTATCCCCTATCCGATGAGAAGCGTCCTCGAAGATTTCAGTTTTCTTGGTTTCAAAAGTTTCATTGGTTGGAGTATTCCCCCACAACAGATGCAGCATATTGCTTTCCATGCTACCTTTTTGCAAAACCTATAACTCATCACGGAACCGATGCTTTCACTATTAAAGGTTTTAATAGTTGGAAAAAAGTTAAGGATGGGGCTAGATGTGCTTTCCTGAATCATGTGGGCCAAGATCCATGTTCTCCACACAATAATTGTTGGAAAAGTTGTCAAGACTTATTGAATCAATCTCGCCATATTGACAAAGTCATTGAAGCACAAACTCTAGAGATGAAGGAAGGTAAACGCTTACGGGTTATGACCTCTATTGATGTTGTTCGGTGGTTGGCTTCACAAGGATGTGCTCTACGAGGTCATGATGAATCCTCTAGTTCTAGAAATCGAGGTAATTTTCTTGAAATGATTTCACTTTTAGCATCATATAATGAACAAGTTGTTAGTGTTGTCTTGGATAATGCTCCAAAAAATGCTATGTATACTTCTCCCAAAATTCAAAAGGAGATCTTACACATTCTTGCTAACAAAGTGCGTCATAGGATTCGACATGATATTGGTGATTCTATGTTTTGCATTCTTGTTGATGAGGCACGTGATGAATCTAAGAGAGAGCAAATGGCTATTATTTTGAGATTTGTTGATGAAAAGGGGTTCATTAGAGAGCATTTCTTTGATGTTGTGCATGTTAGAGATACCGCAACAATGACTCTCAAAAAAGAAATTTGTACAGTTCTTTCTAGATTTTGTCTTGATGTAAAGAACATTCGTTGTCAGGGATACGATGGTGCTAGCAATATGCGGGGAGTGTGGAATGGGTTGAAAGCATTATTTTTAAATGATTGTCCTTCTGCCTACTATGTTCATTGCTTAGCACATCGGTTGCAATTAGCATTGGTTGCTGCTTCTAGAGAGGTGAAATATGTGCATAATTTTTTCACCGATTTAGTCTTTATTATTAATGTGACCTGTTCTTCTTGCAAATGAAATAATGGATTAAAGGAAGCTCAAGCACTTGAAATTGCAAGAATGTTGGAAATTGGTGAGCTTGAAACAGGCAGAGGACTTAATCAGGTTGGTACCTTACAACGAGCTGGGGAAACTCGATGGAGCTCGCATTTCAGTTCTGTTTTCAGTTTGATTAGGATGTTTGCTGCGACTTGTTCTGTTTTAGAAGACGTTGAAGAGAATGGCAATAACTATTCTACTCGTGGAGATGCAACTGGAGCACTTAAGAAGATTAAATCTTTTGATTTTGTTTTCTTGTTGCATCTTATTAAACAAATTATGGGTATTACAGATCTTCTATGTCAGCATCTACAAAAGAAGTCCCAAGACATAGTAAATGCTATGCATTTGGTGTCAAGCACCAAAACATTGATCCAAAAGTTAAGGGAAGGTGGATGGGATAACTTCTTAGAAATTGTTAGTGTTTTGCCAAAAGCATGAGATTGAAGTTCCTAATATGAAGTCTCCTTATGTGGTAAAACGCAAACGTCATGATCAAGAAGGGTTTGATATTGAGCGTCAATATCAGGTTCATATGTTTTACGCAGCCATAGATTCACAATTGTTAGAGCTGAATAGCAGATTCAGTGAACAGATAATGGATCTTCCTACTCTTAGCTGTGCTTTGGATCCTAAGGACTCATATAAGTCCTTTAATGTTGATGATATCTGTTCTTTAGTGGATAAATACTACCCCTTTGATTTTATTGAGCAGGAGAAGGTGGGCTTGAGGTTTCAATTGCAACATTATAAGCTCAATGTTCTAAACCATCCAAAGTTGGCAAATTTGTCTACAATGGCTGAACTTTGTCAAGGATTAGCGGAGACAGAGATGTCAAAAGTTTACTTTCTTATTGATAGATTGATCCGACTTTTGTTGACTCTACCGGTATCGATAGCAACAACAGAAAGGGCTTTTTCAGCAATGAAAATTATAAAAACAAGGCTTCGCAATAAAATGGAGGATGAGTATCTTGCAGACAACCTTGTTGTTTATATAGAAAGAGAACTTGCTAAAACTTTTGACTCAAAAGTCGTGATTGAAGAATTTATCTCGTTGAAGGAGTGTCGAGCACAATTCTAAGGTATTAACTTTACTATTTTGTAATAATATATTTGTCTCTTCTTCTATTTTTTGCCTATTGTGTACCATTTTAATGCTTCATTTTATTACTATTATATAAAGGTTATAACTTATAATAATTAGCAACTAGATTTTTTTTCTTTAAATTACCCCCCCCCCCCCCCCCCCCCCCCCCAATGTGAATTTCCTGGGTCCTTTCTCACTTCTCATTTTAAGGGGCATTTCTCACATGATCTTTTCTCTCGCACTCTATTGTTGAAGTTTACTGCGTTGTAAGATAAGATGCAAATCCAAGGGCTGAGATTACTTCTAACTTCTCATTTTAAGGGGGACTTCTCACCTGATATTTTCTCTCTCTAATGAGAAGTGAGAAGTAATCTCAGCCCTTGGATTTGCATCTAATCTTACAACGCAGCAAACTTATAGATTAAATATAGGAACTTATAACTAATAAATCATAACTTATAAAGCTCTCCATTGTAATTATGGAAATGTCACCGCGTCCAAAAATTTCCAATGTCTCCAGACTTATTTTTTTGCGGTGGCATGTTCGTAATTATTTCGAGAAGTCTATAAGTTATGATTTATTGGTTAAAAGTTCCTGTTTTCAGTCTATAAGTTAGCTTCGCAGTTCTCAACCTAAGGGCACTTCTCACCTGATCCGCTCCCTATATATATATATATATATATATATATATATATATATATATATATATATATAGTAATATTTATGTGCGGCCGACCGCACCAGAGGGGCCGGCCGGCCGACGGCGTTTGGCCGCCTTTCCGGTAGAAGTTTTTGTAGAAATTTTTATAGAATGTTCTTCATCAAGTCTACTTTATCCACACAAAACATCAGCTAAAAACTCAATCTGGAAGGTTGTCAAATGATTTTTTGAAGTTTGTGTGTAATTTTGCACGGTTAACTTCAAAAAATCATTTGAAGACCTTCCGGATTGAGTTTTTAGCTAATTTTTTTGTGCATAAACTAGACTTCATGAAGAACATGTCATAAAAATTTCATCAAAAATTTCCACCAGGAAGGTGGCCAAACGACATCGGCCGGACGGCCTCTCTGGTGCGGTCGAACGCACCAGAAAAGTACTATATATATATATAATAATGATCAAATGAGAAGAGTGCTTATCGTAAGAAGTGAGAATGCATCTGGTGCGTTCATTTTAAGATCTGTGCATCAGATTAGCAAAAAAGTGCACGAGAAAGTGCAAAACATATTAAAAAAGTGATGCTAGACGCGGTGGCATTTCCGTAATTAATCGGAACTTTTCTGCCATCGCAAAAAATGCTTCAGATTAGCAAAAAAGTGCATCAGGAATAGGTAAATGTGTAACTTCTCACTTCTCACGTTAAGATATCTTCTCATTAGAACCCGACTATATATATATATATATATATATATATATATATATATATAGACACACACACATATATATACACATATACATATATATACATATAGGGGAGGGTTCAAATACAAAGAGGTCTTCTCATGCAAAGTGAGAATTAATCTCGTGCATTCATTTTCAGATCGAGCGGCTCAAAATGAGCCAAAAATGCACAAAATTTGATCAAAAACGCGGTGGCAGTTTAGTAAATAAACCGAATTTTTCTTTCATCGCGAAAAAGTGCAACAGAAACATGAAATAGTGCAACACGGTGAGGAAAAAGTGCAATCGTTCACTCTTTGCACGGGAGCACCTCTTTTTATTTGAACTTTTCCCTATACATATATATACACACATATATATATACATAGAATAAAGATCAAATGAGAACAATGCTTAACGTGAGAACGTGAGAACACCACATTTACCCCAACGTGTTGCACAATGAAGCTTGTATATTGCACATTTTTACATTTTCACAATAATTACCAAAATGCCACCGTGTTTATATAATATAGACTTAATTCGAGCAAATGAAAATGTGCAACAGAATAGCTCCATTGTGCACCACATTGATTTAAATGTGAGTGTTCTCACGTTCTCACGTTAAGCATCGTTCTCACTGGAACCGCACCCTATATACATACATACATATATATAGAAAAGATCATGGAAAGAGACCGAGTTTTTTTTCGATTTAATGCTAATTAATTAATTAATTACGAAAATAATGTTGGTAAAAAAATATTTACCGATCTACTGCTGGGTTTTACCATGGTTAGGGAAAGTCGCCCAACGGTTGGGCGACTTTCCCCTTCCATATAAACGCGGACCAACAGCTACTGCTAGCCACGCACGATCGTGCCCGGACGGGTAGACACGATCGTGCCTAATTCCGAAAACAGAATTTCATCAGTTTTTTTGCCCCATTTCAACCCAGACTCATCTTTTTGCTATAAATAAGGTCTCCCTTCTCCTGTTTAAGTGTTACGAGCTAGATGCAACACATTATAAAACATACAACACATATGTTCACAAACACATACAACTCACCGGTAAAACACAGTACAATCATCAAACATTCATAACAATTAATCATCTAATATTCATACTCGAACACATAAATACAACATACAAGAGAAAATACGTAACATTTTGTAAATTGTTCCTACAACATCTAAAATGTTGTAAATTATCTAAAATGTTGTACAAGAAACACTGCAATACAAAAGACAAAGTAGAAGTTGTCATGGTCATCTTGATCACTCGACCTAGGATCCGCTGTCACCTGCATGCCTACAAACAAACAAAATCGTATTAGTTAATTTTTACTATTATACTAATTCTTTTTTTTAATCATCAATTTTATTAATGTGAATTACTATAATTAACACCTTACCCGCTGGACCCCCCATCGTGTCTTGATGATCTCTTCGCACACGTGGCCCTATTATGGCCGGTTTGGTGGCATTTTCCACATCTAACCGTTCTTCGGGGACCTTCATCCATCTCATTCTTAATACGTGTGGACTTAGGTCTTTCCTTAGCCCGAAGCATGGATGAATCGTGCACGATTTCAGGTCCATTGTAAGTAGGCCAATAATCACGATCAGGAATGAGTTTGAAGACTCTATGATATGTGGCTGCGTATTGGTCAGATGAGAAAAACTTATCCACAAATGGAGCATAAGACAAGCTACGTTGTCTGCACACGGCTAACACATGGGGGCATGGAATCTTATATATCTCCATCTTTTTACAAGTGCAAGTTTTACGTTTCAGATTGACAGTTTGTTTTCTCCCACCCTTTCCCAACGTTCGGCCACCACAACCGGTTTCCACTTGAAATAACCCTCGGCCTAAATCAAATGGAGTAACTATGTGATGCTTGACCTTCTCTCTATTCTTATCAATTAAATATGTGATGTATGGGGAGTACTCGTGGCCTTCTGTCACTCTCATTTTACTGGTTTCACGCCTATTAACAAAATAAGCATTAACTCGGTAAAAGGAAACCTGGACCAAAACGGTGATGGGCAAATATCTAGCATTTTTCATCACGCTATTGAAAACCTCTGCCAGATTAGAAGTGATGGTACCGTATCTGTACCCGCCATCATGGTGCAATGACCATCATGGAAGTTCGCCGGAGATGGAAATGGCTCGGTCGTCCTTCGTCCTTCGTCTTTCGTAGCTGCTGCTTGGGGGATTTGGGGGTTGGGTTTCATTCGTTGTGTTCTGTTTTGTGGCTGGGTGTTGTTTTTACTTAATGGAAAGTCGCCTAGCAGTAGATCCGTAAATACTTTTAACCCAACATTATTTTCGTAATTAATTAATTAATTAGCATTGATTCGGAAAAAAAAAACTCAAAGAGACACGGCTCTCTATCCCCTCTCAAGCGCGAACGACCATCGAATTGAAGGCTACGCAAATTGCAATCATCAAACGGTGCAAATTGCAGCGCAGCATGGTCCACCGTGTACAGAGGTAGGGGCGTTGCCAGTACTACTTACGGCCAGTAGCAGTTTCGTGGGCTGACTTGCTGAAGAAAGAAAAGAGAAGCGACCAGGAACGACCTAACAAGCCCGGAGTAAATACTCCAAGTTCGGAATTAAATCAGGCTTATTTGGATGCTCAACTCAATGTGGGTGATAAATTACCCTTGGATTTAATTCAGGCACCCACGGATGATTCAACCAAGGAAACATAATTTTTTCACTTCTTTGGAGAGCAGGGTTTTGATTCAATCAAAATTGAATCAAAATCCTTTAGATTTGCCGACAGACAGAATGAAATTGTCATATTTGAAATTAAAAAATCCTCGATGCACAGGATTAATTTCAAAAAAGAACAAGCG